GTGCGCTGGACGCCGCATCTATAGGGCTCCATAACTCATTTACTGAGTTGTCTGGCGGCGGGGGCTCGGGTGTTGTGCTGGAGGACGGCACGCTTGTGTTCCCCATGCAGGCCATCAAAACGGATGGAAAGAGCGTCTTGCTGGTCATGCGCTTGGAGTCGTCGAATAAGAAATGGACTCTTTCGCGGCAGACGACCGGTGCGGGCTGCAGAGACCCGTCGATCACGCGGTGGGGCGAAGTCCTCGCGATGGCTCACTGTGCGGGCGGCTACTACGACGTGTACAAGTCCACCGCGGCCGGTACGGCTTGGTTCGGTGGCGCGCCGATTAGCCGCGTGTGGGGCAACTCACTGAAGCGCCAGGGAGGGCACGGCGTGCAGAGCGGCCTCACCACCGCAAGCATCGAGGACATGGAGGTGGTGCTCCTCACCGCGCCGGTGTATTCGAAGGAGGGCGACGCCGCAAAGGGCCAGCTGCATCTTTGGTTGGCCGACGGTGCCCGCGTGCATGACGCTGGGCCGGTGTCCGACGCCGCCCACAACGCCGCCGCCAGCTCCCTGCTGTACAAAAGCGGCGGTGCGAAGGAGGAGGAGTTGATTCTGCTCTACGAGAAGAAGAATGGCGACGGAGACTCTTACGATCTTGTCGCTGTGAGCCTGACTGACAGGCTGCCGGAGATTAAAAAAGTGGTGCGCGCCTGGAAGGAACTGGACGCCGCCTTAAAGGGCTGCACTCCCACTACAAGCCTCAACCCGAAAGAGAAGGGCATGTGCAGCGGCCCTGTTCCCACGGATGGGCTGGTGGGATTCTTGTCCAACACGCTGGACCAGACCGCATGGGTGGACGAGTACCGCGGCGTGAACGCAACGGTGAAGGGCGGGCAACTGACACGCACGGAGCGGGGAGTGACGTTCAAGGGAAGTGGCTCATGGGCGGAGTGGCCCGTGGGAAGCAGGGGGCAGAACCAGCCGTACTACTTTGCGAACAACAAGTTCACGCTTGCGGCGACGGTGATGATCCACGCGGTGCCGGAGGCGGACACTCCTCTGCTGGGCGTGAGGATGAACGACTCAGCGAAGACTGTGCTCTTCGGCCTCTCGTACACGCCGGACAGCAAGTGGAAGGTGACAGTCAGCGGCCAAAGCCGGAGATTGCCAGATGACGATGAGACGTGGGAGGTGAACAGGGCCTACCAGGTGGCCGTGAAAATGAATACTGACGACGAGTTCGCTGTGTACGTTGACGGGGACGAGATTTACGAGGGTACGTACGGCACTTCTCTGTTCGACTCGCACCGCATCTCGCACTTCTACTTTGGCGGCGACGGTGCGGCGGCGAGCGCAACGGCCAGCCCCCACGTGACGGTGGCCAACGTCCTGCTGTACAACGACGAGCTGTTTTCTGACGGTTTCAAGAAACTCACGCAGAGCAAAGTGGCTCTTCCAAAGCCGGCCGCCGAGAAGGAGCAAGTCCGCGGGCCGCAGGCGGGTTCCTCGTTGCCCACGAGCGGAAGTGGGACGAGTGTTCCCGAAGTGGGGCCCGAGGTCAGCGGCGGTGAGGAGGAGGGAGTTGAAGATGTTTTGGCACCTGCGGTCCCTCCACTGGTGGCCCCCGAATCGCATGCCGGGCCGAAACCCCCTGAGGAGACTGCTGCCAAAAATGCCTCTTCGCAGGGGCCGGGAGCGCCGGCACTCCCTGCAGACAAGGCCCAAGCAGCTGCAGAGGAACACCAAAGCGAAAAAGAAACCAACGACATCCCGGCGGCGCAAGGCAAAGAAGCAACACCTCCGCCACCAGCAGCAGGGGAGGGCCATGGGGCCAATGATGGCGGGAAATTATCTCCTGAACGGCAGCCTGCGCCGAAGGCAGAGGAGCAGGAGGAGGGGGAGAGCGAAGTTCGAAGTGACGACGTTGTCTCGGAGCCTCTGCCGCCGCCATCGCCATCTCCACCGTCGAGCGTGAGTGCCCCTGCCGAGGAAGGCGAGGATAATGCGGTGGTCGGTGCGCCTGAAGGCGCCGGAGCGGAGCAGCCTCCTGTCCTCGAAGCGAAGGACGCCGCCCCAACCTCGGCAGCGGGTCCAGGCGCCAGCCCTCCCGTGCGCAGTGACGCTGACGAGGCTCCCACTAAGAGCACCCCTGGCACTGCGCCGCATGGCACAGTTCAACCTACCGCTGCGGAGGCCGAGAAGGCGACACAGGGGCGTTGCGCCGCAGT